CCAGAAAGGAATGCAGTGATATTTTTTTTTTTTTAGAGACAGGGTCTCACCCTTTTGCCCGGATCAGTGTGCAGTGTTGAAATCATAGCTCACTGCAGCCTTGACCTTCTAGGCCTAAGCCATCCTCCCACCTCAGTCTCTTGAGTAGCTAGGACTATGGGCAAGAACCACCAGGTCTGCTGAGTTTTTAATTTTTAAATTGTTTTGGGTAGAGATGGGAATCTTACTATGTTGCTTGGGCTGGTCTTGAACTCCTGGTCTCAGGCGATCCTCCTGCCTCAGCCTCCCACAGTGCTGGGATAATATGTGTGAGCTACCATGCCTGGTCCTACTTATTTTTGTTTTGAATTTTACTTTATTTTTCATATTTAGGGGGTAAAAGTGCAGGTTTCTTACCTGTATATCTTGCGGAGTGGTGAAGTCTGGGCTGTTAGTGCCCCACCACCCGAACAGTGAACATTGTACCCCCTAGGTAATTTTTCACCTTCTAATACACATAGTGTTTTAGATTTGATTTGCCAATAAATGTGAATGTCCATGATATTGGGGTGCTAGGTGGCAGCAGCAGAAGTCTAAGCTTGACTCCGTGTCCTTTAGTGTCTAAGAACATCCATGCAGGCCCTGGCCCAACTGGGATTGGAAACTGTGATTGGAAAGCAGCTGAATGCAAATATGTTTTAAGGTCCTGCAGCTGTGTGTGCTTCTCACATTCAGGTATTAAAAGTGTAATGGAAATCTGCCCTCCTGGTCATGGAGGGCCATTTGTTTTCTTGTTTTAGGCCATACAGTCAGGTGGTTCCAAGGAAGAAAAGCAGCACAGAGAGAAGAAGCTGCGTAAGGAGTCTGAGATGGGCCTTCCTGAACACAAGGAGCCAAGGTGCAGGGATCCCGACCTGGATGCCAGGAGCAGAGACAGGGTGGCCGAAGTCCCGACCGCTAAGGAGAGTTCTCGTGGGGAGAGGGACAGAGACAGACAGAGGGAGAGGAGAAGAGACGCAAAAGACTGGGAGCAAGAAAAGCTGAAGGAGAAATATCGAGAGGCAGAGAAGTCTCACAGCAGAGGAAAGGACAGGGAAAAAGAAAAAGACAGAAGGGCCAGGAAGGAAGAGCTCCGGCAGACCATGGCCCACCACACCCCGCTGGGCCAGGAGGCACGCGACCGGCAGCTCCAGCTCCTAGAGCGGGCAGAGAGGAAAGGCCGCTCAGGTGCGTCCCCGCTTGCCTCCCTGCGGCTCCACCTGAGGTGCTGCTTCGCTGCTCCTGACAGGTTGTTAGCTCGCTCCCTCTCCTTCCTCCCACCCTCCCTCCTTCCCCTTTCTTTTCTTTTTTTTTCTGTACAGGGTCTAGCTCTGCCCCCAGGCTAGAGTGCAGTGGTGCTATCACAGCTCACAGCAGCCTCCACTTCCTGGGCTCAAGCGATCCTCCCACCTCAGCCTCCCCAAGCATTGGCGTTATAGACGTCAGTCTCTGTGTCCAGCTGGCTCTGTTTCTTTTAAAAGTTCTTGCTGTTTGGGACGTTTTCCTCTTTTGAAATGTCCTTTTTTTTTTTGTCTGTTTCTTATTTTTATTTTCTCTCACAGTTTTCACAAATGTTTTATCTTTGAAGTTAGAGGTGCCCGTTCTCTCTCTTTTAGGCCGTGTGTATACTTTTTATTATTGTTTTCCTTTTGGTATTTTAAAAACTCATTCAGGCCGGGTGTTGTGGGTCATACCTGTAATCCCAGCTCTTTGGGAGGCTGACGTGGGAGGATCACTTAAGCCCAGGATTCCAAGACCAGCTTGGACAACATCGGGAGACCCCATCACTACAAAAAATAAAAGAATTAGTCACGTGTGGTGGTGCTTGCCTGTAGTTCCAGCTATCTGGTAGGTTGTGGTAGGAGGATCCCTTGAGCCCAGGAGGTCGAAGCCACAATGAGCTATGATTGTGCCACAGCACTGCAGCCTGGGCAGCAGAGTAAGACCCTGTCTCAAAAGAAAAAACAAAAACTCAAACCATTTAGCCGGCATGGTGCGGTGGCTCACGCCTATAATCCCAGCACTTTGGGAGGCCGAGGTAGGTGGATCACCTGAGGTCAGGAGTTTGAGACCAGCCTGGCTAACATGGTGAAACCCCATCTCTACTAAAAATACACAAAATTAGCTGGGTGTGGTGGTGCATGCCTGTTACTCCAGCTATTTGGGAGGCTGAGGCAGGAGAATTGCTTGAATCCAGGAGGAGGTGGTTGCAGTGAGCCGAGACGACTCCACTGCACTCCAGCCTGGGTGACAAAGCGAGACTCTTTGTCTCAAAAAAAGAAACCAAACAAAACCATATTTTAGGTTTATTGTCTCAATAAATCTGAATCCTCATTGTAAATAAACAAAAATAATGCTCTTTGATAAAGAAAATTTTTCCAAAGTGTGTTTTATTTTATTTAGCTAAATTCCTAGGAATTGTAAGATAAAGGTACATACTTTTTCCTCCCCAAATGGACATTTATTCAGTATTTTTTTGTTATATTAGGTGGTATATGCTTCTTATAAAAAATTTAAACTAGCTAATATAAATGCAAAAGGAATCTATTAGAAGAATAGGTAGTAACTCTTAGAATCAGCAGAAAGACTAGAAGGCCTGGCTGTGAAAATGATGGAAACCAAGGACCTTTACTCATTTTCATTCATAGACTTCTCATATAGACACACTGTGATCTATTTATCTGTTTCGCTGCTGGTGGCCATTGGAGTTGTTTGCAGATTTAACTATTAAGAATAAGGCTGCCAAGAATGTTATCATGCATGTTTTTTGGTGTTCATTTATGTGCATTTCTGTTGGGGTGGAATATACTTGGGGTGGAATGGATGGGTTAATTGGGTTAACACTAATTTTGTTTTTTTTAAAAATATATTTTGTTTGTTATTTATTTAAAAAAAAAAGATCAAAGTAGAGTCAGGGCTTGCCCTGTTGCCCAGGTTATAGTGCAATGGTGTGATCATAACCCACTGCAGCCTTAAACTCCTGGCTTCAAGTGATCCTCCTGCCTCAGCCTCCTGAGTAGCAGAGTCTACAGGCTCGCACTACTGTACCTGGCTATTTTTTTTTTTGAGATAGAGTCTCACTCTGTTGCCCAGGCTGGAGTGAAAAGGCATGATCTCGGCTCACTGCAGCCTCCGCCTCCCTGGTTCAAGTGATTCTCGTGCCTCAGCCTCCTGAGTAGCTGGGACTACAGGCATATACCACCACACCTGGCTAATTTTTTGTATTTTTAGGTGAGATGGGGTTTCACCATGTTGGCCAGGCTGGTCTTGAACTCAATCTACCCACCTTAACCTCCCAGAGTACTAGGGTTATAGGTTTGAGCCACGGTGCCCAGCCAGCACCTGGCTAACTTTTAAAAATTTTTTGTAGAGATGGGCTCTCACATGTTGCCCACGCTGGTCTTGGACTGGTCTCTAGCAGTCCATTTACCTTGACCTCCCAAAGTGCTAGGATTACAAGTAGGAGCTACTGCACTTGGCCTAATTAATTTTTTTTTTTTTTTTGAGATAGAGTCTTGCTGTGTTGCCCAGGCTGAAGTGCAGTGGCACAATCTTGGCTCACTGTAACCTCCGCCTCCCAGGTTCAAGTGATCCTTGTTCCTTAGCCTCCTGAGTAGCTGGGATTACAGGCGTGCACCACTACACCCTGCTATTGGCCTAGTTAATTTTAACAGTAGCTGTTTTATTTAATACTCTTTTCAAAATTATTTTTGATGTTTTTGGAATTTATTTGCAGTAAAATCTTTTGTTCTCAGATCACCCCTTTTTATTATTATTTTTTTGCTCATTTTTTCAATGTGGTGTTGAAAGGAACTGTACTGGAAAGACTTTTAAAAACTGATTGTACACTAGACTCTTTAAAGTTCTTTCATCTGTACGTCTCTTCTGTCATTTCCTTTCCTCCTGCACTGCCCATCTGTGGAGTGTGGCCTTTATCCAGCACTGGGTCCCCAGGTCTCCTCCAGCAACCCCTTGCGCTGGCTGGCTGGATGTAGTCTCATGGTTTTAAATACTGTTGATCCGTTTCCTCATTTCCAAGTTTCTACCCCCAGCCGGGCATCATCCCTGAATTCCAGACTTGTGTGTCCCCTGTGCTTTGATGTCTAATAGATACCACAAGTGCAGTGTACCCCACGTGGAGCTTCCCTGCAGGCTTGCCCATCTCCGCCGACAGCACCTGCATCCTTCCATCCTGAGGTCAGGGACCTGGCACGTAGCCGGATGCCCTGCTTTCTCTTCCAGTCTCTCGGAGAGTCCTGGGTTTCAGCCTTGAAAATCCATCCAGAACGGGGCCCTCCCTCTGTGTCCCAGACTCCTGGAAGAGTGCTCAGTGCTTGGTAAATGCTTTTTGTGTGAATGCACTTTGCCTCAATGGTCTCTGAAGGTTTAACTTTGCCCTGATATTTCAAAGCGTCCAGTCTTATAATTTTACATCTGATGCCTTTTTTCTGTGCAGATTTAGAAGAGAAAGTCCAGCTTTCCTTGGTGCATGATGCTTTGGTGTCATCAGTACCTGCCTGGCTCTGTTTGTCCCTGGTCTGTCTTGTGGGCCATGCTGGGCCTTGGCACTTCAGCCTCCACAGCCCAGGATGGATGCTGCAGCCTGGTACCCTGGGGGGTCTGCTGCACCTGGCTTCCTTGGTTATTCAGGGGCCTCTAGCTTCCTTGGTCCCCTCAGCAGTGGGGGCGCCAGGAGGTATGGGGGCCGCGCTGTATCCTCAGTGCATCCAGGAGGGCAGGAATTTTCCTGGAGCTCACATTTAGCTAAAGTGTTTGGCTGACTGGGCTGGTTCTCCTGTTCAGACTAAACTCTGCTTCTACGTGATGCGCAGAAACCCTGAAGGCTGTATGAGTTTGGGCTGGTGCCCCCTTGAATTTCCAAGGGTTACTCAGACATTTGCTGGGTTGCTTCAGTAGCAAACTGAGTGAGGCAAGAAGTCTCTCTCTTCCTAAGTATACGAGTCCGTCCTCACACTGCTATAAAGAAACACCTGAGGCTGGGGAATTTTATAAAGAGAAGAGGTTTAATTGGTTCTCAGTTCTTCAGGCTGTACAGGAAGCATGGCTGGGGAGGCCTCAAGAGACTTACAGTCTTGGGGGAGGGTGAAGGGGAAGCATTCACCTCTTACAGGGCCGGAGCAGGAGGGAGAGAGAGAGTGGGGAGGTGCCACACACTTTTAAACAACCAGATCTTGTGAAAACTCAGTATCACAGGAACAGCACCCAGGGGGAAATTCGCCCCCATGATCCAGTCACCTCCCACCAGGTCCCACTTTCAGCACTGGGGACTACATTTCAGCATGAGATTTGGGTGGGGACACAGATCCAAACCATATCACTTAGATTGCCGTGTTCATCTCCTTCTTCATTTTAAATTAGATACTAGAACTCTTCATTTTTGAGGTGGGGCATATGTTTTAGTTGAAGAATATTTTGAAATACATATTAAAATGTGCAGTACAGTCCACAGAAAGATGTTAAAAGATCTTTTTGATGTGCTAATATTTGGGAGTATTAAAAATATGTTTTACTTTTTGTAGTGAGTAAAGTAAGAAATGAAGAGAAAGATGAAGACTCTGAAAGAGGAGGAGATGAAGATAGAGAAAGAAGATACCGAGAAAGAAAGGTATACAAAGCAAGGCCTGGGGGAAAGAAAGGTTTTCCAAATGTTGCCAAGTAAAGGATGTGGTTCTTGTTTGTCTGTTTGTTTTTTTTTTTTTTTTTTTTTTTTTTGAGACAGAGTCTTACTCTGTCGCCCAGGCTGGAATACAGTGATGTGATCTTGGCTCATTGCAACCTCCGCCTCCCGGGTTTAAGAGATTCTCCTGCCTCAGCCTCCTGAGTAGCTGGGATTACAGGTATGCACCACCATGCCTGCCTAATTTTTGTATTTTTGGTAGAAATGGAGTTTCACCATGTTGGTCAGGGTGGTCTTGAACTCCTGACCTCATGATCCGCCCACTTCAGCCTCCCAAAGTGCTGGGATTACGGGCACGAGCCACTGCGCCTGTCCATAAAGGATGTTTTAAGCATTATTATTAGAAGCATTTTTAGAAGATGCCCTAAGCCAGGATTTCAGGCCTGGAAAAGGTTGCCAGCACTATGTGTAGTCAGTTTCTTTTCCCCTCATAGTCAAGCGCTTTTTTCTGATTCCAAAGGTAATATTTGATTATTTTAGAAAATTTAGAAGATACAAATAAGTGATAAAAAAAACAAAAACTTTCTAATCCTCACCCATAGGTAAGTATTGATAGTATTTAGGTATATATTTTTTCAGGTTTATATATTTATGTATGTATAGCATTGTTTGCTTTAGTTAGATGTTTACTGTTTTATAAATTGTTTAAATGGAACACATTTTGAGCCTTTTCCTGAGTTAATCCTGTGTTTCATTGTGCAAGGCTTGGTATTTCATGGTGTGGATGTGTTGTTGCTGCTCTTGAGGCACCTGTGATTCTGGACACTTAGGGGGGTGTGTGTGTGTGTGTGTTGTATTATAAAGACATCCAGGGGTATGCTTTTTGGTTCATTCATAATCATTTCCTTATGATTAATTTCTGGAAATGAACTTGCTGGATCAAAGTAAATGTAAACTTACCCTGTTAGCTTTTCATAAAAGTTGTAATGATTTATATCATCAGGGCGTAGTTCCTCATGTCCTAAGCAGGAACGGGGCATTATCTTCATTTAAAATTTTTGCTCATTTAGTTCAGAAGAAAACAGCATTTCTGGGCATTTTTAAAAGCAGGTTTACTACCTTTTGTGAATTGCCACCTGTGTACTTTTGCTAATTTTTTTTTCCCTCTTTTTAACATTTTTTTACAGACAGTGTCTTGCTCTGTCACCCAGGCTAGAGTGCAGTGGTGTGATCATAGCTCACTGCAGCCAGGAATTCCTGGGCTCAAGCAATCCTCCCACCTTAGCCTCCTGAGTAGCTGGGACTACAGGTGCACACCACCACACCCAGCCCATTTTAAAATTTTCTGTGGAGACGGGGTTTCACTATGTTGTCCAGGCTGGTCTTGAACTCCTGGTCTCAAGTGATCCTCTCACCTCAGCCTCCCAGAGTACTGGGATCACAGGCCTGCGCCACTGTGCCTGCTGCTGGCTGATTTTTCAGTGGCGCCTTTTACTGGTTTGTAAGAGTACATAAATAACTCTGCCAGTCATTTATGTTGCTGTTTTTGGCTTGTTTTGAATTTGACCTGGGGGATTTTTATTTTTATAGGTAAGTTAAAAATTATGAAGTAGCTGGGTCTGTGCTGTTACTAGGTCTGTTGTTGATGGAATATTTTCTCCATAGCCAAGTTACATGAGTTGTCACCTGTGTTTTTTCTGGGTCTTTAACTGTTTTTTAAAAAAGAGTTAAGGCTGGATGTGGCGACTCACGCCGGTAATCCCAGCACTTTGGGAGGCCGAGGCGGGTGGATCACAAGGTTAGGAGATTGAGACCATTCTGGCTAACATGGTGAAACCTTGTTTCTACTAAAAATACAAAAATTAGCTGGGTGTTGTGGCACACACCAGTAGTCCAGCTTACTCGGGAGGCTGAGGCAGGAGAATCGTTTGACCCCAGGTAGGCAGAGGTTGCAGTGAGCCAAGGTTGTGCCACTGCACTTCAGCCTGGGCAACAGAGTGAGACTCCATCTCAAACAAAACAAAACAAAACAAAAAATTAATTCTCTGGAGTTCATTTTGGCGACTGGTGTGAAGCAGTTCTCTAACTTCACAGCTGAGGCATTTGGTCAGGGAGGGCATTCGCAGGTTCTTCTTTAGGAAGGTCGCCCTGGCAAAGATGAGTGGGGTGGATGGGAGTTGGGGAGAATTGAGGGAGATGAGTGAGGAGAATGTTGGGTCTACAGGAGGTCCCCCAGGGAACTGAGATATGCGGAGGGTGCCCTAGACCGGGAGTCCAGTGGTCCCTGTTAGGGGGCAAGCAGAGGAGACTCCTTGTCTTTCAGGACAGGGACGGGCACGCACTGGGGTCTGTTGAGCGTGATGTCAGGGCTCCAAGAACTAAGAGTGTGTCCTGCAGCTTAGCATGAAGATGACCACTGGTTCCCTGAACACCACAGTGATTTTAGTCACAGAGATGACTAAATGCTGGTCCCATCTTCAAGACTCTCCATCTGCCTGGTAGTAATTAGGAGAGAACGAGTGATGTGCCGTGTCCATGTGAGAGATGTGGCAGCCTTGTGCTGTCGTACTCACCGGAGAGGGAGTCTCCCAGAGAAGTCGGAGCATTCCCAGGAGGGATCCCAGGGCTGGCAGAGCTTAGGCTGAGGGCCACAAGCATGAGGGATGAGGCGTGGAGGTCGGGAGGGCCGACTGGGAGTGCCGGGCGCCATGTGGAGAGGTCTGGAGGGCCGACTGTTAGTGCCGGGCGCCATGTGTGGGGAGGTCGGGAGGGCTGTGAGTGCCGGGCGCCATGGGGGAGGTCGGGAGGGCCGACTGGGAGTGCCAGGCGCCATGTGGGGATGTCAGGAAGGCTGTGAGTGCCGGGTGCAAGGTGGAGAAGTCGCGGGCTGACTGTGAGTGCCTGGTGCCATGTGGGGAGGCATTGCTTTGTCTGTGGGAAGCAAAGTGGCCAGACTGCAGAGTCTTAAACTGTGTGGCGTTGGGGTGGCACCAGTGTCTGACCGTGGAGCATGTTATAAATAGGGTTTTTCCTTAAGAAGGGTAACGTTAGGTTTTCAGCAATGTATCTGGCAGTGGGATTGAGGAGTGAAGGGGGCAGTTGTAGTTCTGTAATTTTTCCTGCTTTTGTATTGAAATTTATAAAGACAGCACAGTCGTCCCTTGCTATCCATGGGGGAAGGGCTCCAGGACCCCCTCAGGTACCAAAATTGGTGAATACTCAAGTACCCAATATAAAATGGTGTAGTGTCTGCATATAACCTACACACATCCTCCTGGATGCTTTAAATCATGTCTAGATTACTTAAACTCCCTAATGCAATGTAAATGCCGTGTAAATAGTCATTATTGTTTAGGGTGTAATGACAAGGAAAAGGTCTGTACCTGTTTAATACAGACACGATTTTCTTTGAATATTTTCGATTCGGCGTTGGTTGGATCCATTGTTGCAGAACCCACAGATAGGGAGGGCTGGCTGCACTCCTATTTTCTGTGCTCATGCGTTTCTCAACTTACATTTTACAGCTGCAGTACGGAGACAGCAAAGACAACCCTCTCAAGTACTGGCTTTATAAAGGAGAAGGTGAGAGGAGACATAGGAAACCAAGAGAGCCAGATCGAGACAAGAAACACCGGGAAAACAGCACAAGGGAAAGAAGAGAGAAATATTCAAAAGAGAAAAGTAGTGCATTCACTGACAAAGAAGGCGAAGAAAGACGTAAAGAAAAGCGACACAAAGAAGGTCTTCATTTGGATGAGGAGAGGCACCGAAGCCACATGGATAGAAAAGAGAGATTGGTGAAAGAAGAGCACAAGAAAAGAGAATCCAAGGTACCCCTTCCGATGCTTCATTGCCTTAACCGCCGCCCTGAGGTTAGCGGTCTCAGAGGATCGTGACTGTGTCCTGTCGTCAGACGAGATTGAGATTTGTGGCCTAGCAGTATTAGTTTAGGAAAAGCATGACTCAAGTCTTTATCATATGGTTAGACAGATTACTGATCTCCTAAGAAATGTGATGTCAAATATTTCGATTATATTGTGAACTTACTTTTAACAGATATTTGGAAATCTATCATAAAATTTTGAAATTTGACTGAGTGTGGTGGCTCACGCCTGTAATCCCAGCACTTTGGGAGGCGGGCGGATCATCTAATGTCAGGTGTTGGAGACCAGCCTGACCAACATGGTGAAACCCTGTCTCTACTAAAACTACAAAAATTAGTCTGGGATGGTGGCGTGTGCATATAATCCCAGCTACCCAGGAGGCTGAGGCAGGAGAATTGCTGGAACCTGGGAGGCAGAGGTTGTAGTGAGCCGAGATCGCGCCACTGCACTCCAGCCTGGGTGACAAAAAACTGTCTCAAAAAAAAAAAATTGAAATTTAACATTAAAAAGGAAGCTGATATATTTTAAAGTGGAAATTAAGTGAAGAATTCAGCAAACATTTCAATCAGAATTGATGTAAGTTTGCAAAAAAGCAAAACAAAACAACAAAACCGGTAAAAGCATTGATTGCAGAGGATTTAATTCCCTCCCAGGTCTGTTGATTTCATCCCTGTACTTAGAATTTTCCTCCATGTGGTCTAGCATCTTTTGTTCTCATGAGTGTGCTTTTTGCTGCTCTGTTTTTACAGAATCTGAAGCTAATATGATTTTATTCTCCTATTTCTTGGTGATGTTTCCTTTAAGGTGGTAGTTGTTGTAGTGAAACGAGCATAGAAAGTTAACACCAAGACAAAAGTATGCCAAATGGCAGGGTTTTTATTGCCGGCGGCCATGGAGGAGTCGAGTTTTTCTAACCTGTAGCCCCGAAAGGAGGGGTTAAGACCTTTTATACCCATAAAACCACCTCGGGAGTGAGGGTGAGGGGCAGGGGTGGGGGTGAGGGGCTTTAGACGAGGGCTAGTGGATTCTGCAAATCACCTCCCGGGCTGAGATGAAGGTGAGGGGCTCTGGACACTCTGAGGGCCAGGGGACTTTTGACATTCTGATTGTTACTTAAGTGGTTTACAGAAGTTAAGATTAGCATTTGTTTACACATTGTCTGGGTAGGGTGAAAATTACAGTCCTTAATTACTTATTCACATTTGGGTTATAGAGAGCAGTTTCAGCAGCAAGCCGAGGTATGATTGAGGTATGCAGTTTCATGGGGCTTTTACCATGTTACGGTAGTGAAATCTTTGCAAGGGTCAGGTAATATCTGAGGCTAGGGGAGAGTCAAGCCTTCAGGGACGAGGCTGGAGGCCTCCCCAGAAGCCCGGGACTCAGATCTGATACGAATTGACACAGCTGAGGACATGGACGTATTGCCGGTGGCCACTGCAGTGTTTAGGACTCAAAAGCCAGTGGGTTAAAACTGGGAGCACTGAGGCCAAGAAGCAGTCATGTTAAGAGCAGAAGCTGCCTGGCTCCCAGCTGTCATGGCTGCTACTGGCGCTGTCCTGCATGGAGTCTCAGTCCTTGAAACTACCTTGCCTTTGCCCTGGGGCCTTCTCTCACTGAGACCCCGCTGTCTCCTGCAACCGCCTGCGTTTATATCAGAGTGTTGGTCATGCTTCTTAGCAGGTTTGAGACAGTGCCAGTTCTGTTCCACATGTGTCGAAAGCCTGTGAACTCTCCTCTAGTCAACCACATGGAAGATTAGATGAGGTGGTCACTGAGAGAGAAGCACCTTCTGGAGGACAGATACTCATTCTTTTTGTGTTTAAGTCTCTTTCCCTAGATTAGAACTTCATCGTCCTCCCCAATGTTGTATTATGAACATTTTGAAACATACAGCAGTCAACATAATTTCCAGTGAACACTCCTGTACCCACAGCTTAGATTCCACCACTCACCTTTTATTGAATGTGACTGTTCTCCATTCACTAGATCAAGTTTAATTACCGAAGTGACTTGCTTAGGTTACATTTGCTTACTTACACCCAGAAATGCCTTTCTGGACATAGATTTGGCTTTTATTAAAGGTGGATGTGAAAAATTGTCCGTGAAGAACATTATTCTGCATCTTTGTAAAATCACTACCTTCATATTAGTCCCAGAAGAAAGATTATTCAGATGACTGACATTTTCTTTTTAAGACAAGTTGTTCCTATCTGGGTGGCTACTGTATGGTGGGCACAGTTCTAGTGTTAAGGATACAGCTGTGAACAAAACAAAAATTACTGTTCTTATGGTGCTTACGTTGTATTGAAGAAGCCATAGAATAAAGAACTTCCAAAAACACCAAAAAAAAATTAAATATTAGATAGGCGTGTTGGCTCATACCTGTAGTCCCAGCTACTCAGGAGGCTGAGGTGGGAGGATCTCTTCAGCCCAGGAGTTCAACACCAGCCTGGGCCATATAGTGAGACCCCATCTCCATCAAAATTTTTAAAAAAAATTAGACAGACGGTGGCACATGCCTGTATTCCCAGCTATTACCGAGGCTGAGGTGGGAGGATCACTTGACTGTGGAGGTCAAGGCTGCAGTGAGCTGTGATCGTTTCACTGCAGTCCAACCTGGGTGATAGAGTAAGACCTTGTCTTAAAAGAAAAAATAAAAGAGTCCTGGCGCGGTGGCTCACACCTGTAATCCCAGCACTTTGGGAGGCCGAGGTGGGCGGATCACTTGAGACCAGGAGTTTGAGACCAGCCTGGCAAAACATAGTGAAACCCTGTCTCTTATTTTTAAAAAGTAGAAAAACGGTGGCTCATGGCTATAATCCCAGCCTTTAAGAGGCCAAGGCAGGTGGATCACGGGGTCATGAGATAGAGACCATCCTGGCCAACATGGTGAAACCCGGTCTCCACTACAAATACAAAAATTAGCTGGGTATGATGGCGCACACCTGTAGTTCCAGCTACTCCAGAGGCTGAGGCAGGAAAATTGCTTGAACCTGGGAGGCAGAGGTTGCAGTGAGCTGAGATTGTGCCACTGCACTCCAGCGTGGGGGACAGAATGAACCTTCATCTCAAAAAAAAAAAAGAAATGAACAGATAAATGATACAACGTCAGGAATGGTGATCAAGCATTGTATAGTTAAAGTTTTCCTTTGCATTGACTTGTAGAAATTCAAAACTTTTGAGTACTTTTGGTAGTCAAAATTAGTATCACCTTTTAGATATCCAACCGAGTACTCTGTTAAGGTACTACTTGATGTAATTATCCTGTGGTTACCATAAAGTGCAAGGGGCACTGTTAATAATTACGCCAGGAGGTTGGGCATAGTGGTTTATGCCTGTAATCCCAGCACTTTGGGGGCTGAGGTGGGCAGGTCACGAGGTCAGGAGTTCGAGACCAGCCTGGCCAGTATGGTGAAACACTGTCTTTACTAAAAAAACAAAAACTAGCTGGGCATGCTGGTGGGCACCTGTAATCCCAGCTACTCGGGAGGCTCAGGCATAATTGCCTGAACCTGGGAGGCAGAGGTTGCAGTGAGCTGAAGATCATGCCATTGCATTCCAGCCTGGGTGACAGAGCAGGACTTTGACTCAAAAGAAAAGAAAAAAATTATGCCAGGACAGCAGATATAACGGGACTGTTCGCAGGGTTGGATGTTCTCTGTGATTATCTCTCACTTTCTCTGTATGATTTTTTTTTCTTTTTCTTTTTTTTTTTGGAAGACTAAGTCTCACCGTATCACCCAGGCCGGAGTGCAGTGGTGCGATCTTGGCTGACTGCAACCTCCACCTCCTGGATTCACGTGATTCTCCTGCCTTAGCTTCCTGAGTAGCTGGAATTATGGGCTTGTGCCACCAAGCCTGGATAATTTTTAATTTTTATTTTTAGTAGAGATAGGGTTTCGCTATGTTGGCCATGCTGGCCTTGAACTCCTGACGTCAGGTGATCTGCCTGCCTCAGTCTCCCAAAGTGCTGGGATTACAGGCATAAGCCACAGTGTCCAGCCTTTATATGATTTTTGGCCCATGATTTAAATTAGAATTATGTAACTGTTATTGTAAGCTTCCTCCAGTTATCAACTAGAGATAGAAAGGGTATGAGTAAGTATAATAAATACATGACATGTTCTTCTAAGCGCCCTGACCAGTGACTTCTATAATAGAAGAATCCAGTGACCTCCTCTCTTTGTTATCCTATCAGCTATACTTTTATCTTTTTAAAAAACATGTTTTTTAGAGATGGGTTCTTGTTGTGTTGCCTAGGCTGGTCTTGAACTCCTGGCCTCAAGCGATCCTCTTACCTCAGCCTGCCAAACAGATGGGATTAGGATGTGACCCTCCATGCCCACCATACTTTTATCCTTTTGAAGATTGGATCATCTCCTTTCTGTTTCTGGAAGCAGTGGCTTCAAATATCACTTGTAAATATCTGTTTCCCACCCAGGACTCTCCTATCCAGAGTGTTAGTCCTGAGGGACTGTGTGATGAGGCCACAGGAATTTGACAACACCGTGCTGAGGTTTGTCTCAGCTCTGCCGTTTGCAGGCCATCTGGGTGAGCAGCGTTACCAGCCTCCCTGTGTGGTCGGTGATGAGAGAATCACAGAATACTCCTCCTGGCCCCATGTGCAGCCTGACTGGCTGCTGTCACCACAGCCAGGGTCCCCCATGCTGTGTACGGCTTGCCCACCACCCAGGTCTAATTCTTAGCATTAACTTGATTACTTTTTTTCTTTTTCTTCTTTATATCTGGTTAGTCAGTAAATCATAATGTTTCCTATCCAGCACTAATGATTTTATTTTTTCCTCATTCCAATTTATTTTATGGATCACAACACATTGTTCTGTTAAACATTATACTTTTTTTCTAATTAATTTTGTAAATTTTTTTTTTTTTTTTAAGATAGAGTCTTACTCTGTTGCCCAGGCAGGAGTGCAGCAGTGTGATCGTGACTCACTGCAACCTCTGCCTCCTGCGTACAAGTAGTTCTCCTGCCTCAGCCTCCTGAGTAGCTGGGACTACAGGCGTGCAGCACCACGCCCGGCTAATTTTTGTATTTTTAGTAGAATGGAGTTTCACTGTCCTGGCCAGGCTTGTCTCAAACTCCTGACCTCAAGCAGTTCGCCCGCCTTGGCCTCCCACAATGCTGGGATTACAGTTGTGAGCCACCATACTTGGCCTTGGAAAGATGTTTAAATATAGGGAAATATAAAAAATAAGACAAAAATTACACATGATCCCAGACTAAGATAATTTATTTTTGTGTATTTATATTCTAGCCATCATTTTTTCTGTGTGTAAATAAACTTTGTACAAATGTAGAATTGGAATTATGCTGAAATTTTCTCTCTGTTCTGGAAATACTTTTCAGTGCAGGGATATGTAGTGGCCGTCTGGTTTTCCACCATGTGGTCATAACCTTCCTTTACTTAGGAGCATCCTGATGCTATCATTTAGGTTATTAACATCTTAAAAAATTATGAATTACTCTGTTGAACAGGTTGAAAATTGAGACATATCTCATTGTTGTCTAAGAATAATTTCAGTGTTTTTTACACCTGCAGGAATAGGATAAGAATAATATATATATATTTTTGAGACAGAGTGTTGCTCTTCACCCAGGCTGGAGTGTGGTAGCTTGAACACGGCTCACTGAAGCCTTCACCTCCACGGCTCACGTGATCCTCCTGCTTGAGCCGCCTGAGTAGTTAAGACCATAGGTGTGCACCATCATGCCTGGCAAACTTTTTAAAAACAATTTTTTATAGAGATGAAGTCTCACTGTGTTGCCCAGGCTGGTCTTGAACTCCTTGGCTCAAGTAATCCTCCTGCCTCAGCCTCCCAAAGTTCTGGGATTACAGGCATGAGCCACTGTGCCTGGCCAGAATGGTTTCGTAGAAGTAGAATTGATAGCTCGGAGAAGCATTTGAACATTGTGAACCCTTTTTAATGGCCTCCAATGCAGGTTGCATCCTTCCCACTGGACTGATCTCTTAGATGGTTGTTCAGCTCCATTGTTCTTCTGCTCTGTGCTTCTTATGATTGCTCCCAGGCCTGGAATCTTCTCCCTCCAGAGGTGGACTTTCCCCACCACCCCCAGGCATCTTCACCTGGGGGAACGAATGGGTCCCGACATGCTGCACTTTACACTGAGAGCTCATTCAACTCTGTGTGTCTCTTCAAATGAGGCACCTGCATATATTGATTTACAGTCTAACACTTTTAATTTTATTTTCAAAATTCACTTGTTAGAAAAAAATTTTTTTTCTGTGGGTACATGAATCTGTGAAATAGCTGTGTTTTATATGTTTGAAAGTTTATCATTTTAAGCTGTGTAAGGAACTAGTCAGATGTATCTGTAAATAATGTGTTGCTTTTGTGAAATGAATGACTAATTCCTTGGGTAATATATAATCACCTTTTTATATATACTTTTATCCATTTTCTTTACATTTAATTATCTAATTTACTAAAAATTGTTGGTAAAAATGTTACTTTAAAGATACTTGTGTAGATGCTTGAATCCATGCTTATTTTATGGGGTTTATTAATTATGCTTACTTCATTCCAATATGGTAATAAATGGTCATGGAATTATTCTTTTGTTTGATAGAACGGTGAACACAGAAATCGAGGTGCAAGCTCAAAAAGAGATGGGACCAGCAGCCAGTAAGGATTGCGTGCCCTGTGGTCGAGCTTTACGTGTGCCGCTCTCGTGGAAGGATTGCGTGCCCTGTGGTCGAGCTTTACGTGTGCCGCT